GGGACAATAAAGGCTGTTTCTATTCTATTCTATTCTATTCTATTCTATTCTATTCTATTCTATTTATAAGACTGAGCTGAATACAGCTCCTCATATTGAAGAAGTCTTTCGGATGAAAGACAAAACGTTTCTACAATTGTTTTTTTTAATGTCCAGAGGACCTGACTTAACTTTTTTAGATCAAGCTTACACTTTTCTAATCATTGGAGGCATGGCCAGAGTGGGATTCATTTTCAGCCCTGGAGTTTAATGCCTCAGACTGGCCCACTTTAGGTCACAACCTATTACTGTATTATTAAAATCATATAATTATAAACTTACATCGGGGGCCATTCTAGAATACTATGCCCCTTAGGGGTGCTTATCTGGCTCTAGGCTTGAACAACGTGGTGGCCATTGGCATCAGAATCATTTGTAATGTGGGAGGGAAACAGGAAGAGGGCCACCTGCATCATGAAAGGCCCCACTCACCCAGCACACACACCTTTTGTCCCGCTCTCCTCAAGCAGGAGGTTGAGGAGCATTAAGTGTAAACCCACTAGACTGATTAACAGCTTCTACCCTGAAACTGTTAGACTCATGAATTCCTTATCAGGATTATCATGGCAAAAAAAAAAATCACTGTAATGCCACTTGATTGTTGACATGTACTGCTGACTATCCATGCTGCTGATCTCATGCTGCTGATTTATTTCATTCTTCCATGTTCATTCGTACACACCTGCTCACAGACTCATGTTCGTGCTGCTGTTGTTTGGCGTATTGTTTTTGCACTACTAGTGCTTTTCGTATTCTTTAGCATATTTCATATCTTAGATCTTATTATTGTTTTTCTTTACAAATTTTACTTTTTGTTGGATGCAACTGACCCTGTGTACACGATTTTCATTTCACCACATGTACCACATATGATGCGAATTACAATAAATAAACCTTGATGCACTGGTGGGGGGGTCTGGGGGTCCTCCCCCAGAAAAATTTGAATAAAGTAGATGCCATTTCCTGCATTCTGGTGTATTTTAATGGTTGTTTAATATCTAGTTTCACCTACATACGTAAATGCTTGAATCAATAAGTATTTTAGAGTTAGTGGCACAACAAGAAGTAGCCTGACCAACAGCTCTCCTTGTGTGAATAGAGCACGCTCCACTTCTCTCATGCATCCTAGCCACAGTCTAAGAAACATAGTGTCGCCTAAGTTAACTTTTAGGGAAAAAAATCACCAGCCAAGATTACTTTTATCAATAAGATATTTTTTGTCTTTCATTTTTTTGAATTAACCAATATGAAACGATAATAATGATCACTCCTCCTTACCAATGGCATAGCATAAAGCAATATGATCATCATCCATCATGCTTATTTGTAGCTTAAAATACCTAATTAAAACTCCAGTAATGGGCTAGGTCTACTGTAACTTTACCCAGTTGTATGGTCAACAAGGACAAACATGTAACATTAACACAGTATGAACAACATTCAGGAATTGTTTCGATAAGAACATGCTCAAATATTTTATGTGAATGGTAGAATCGCTCTGCCCACAAAGAAATGTAACCCAGGGTGAGCTAATCTTGGACAAACTAACAAAGATAGCTATAAAGGTGGTTCACGGCGTTACCTGAGGCATTTATGCCTTATCAGCCGACAAAGAGGCCAGAAAAACAAAACAAAAACAATTCTAAGCTACTAATAACTTAAAATAGTTACTGCAGAGGATGTTTTCATGCTGCAGAGCAACACAGGTAAGAGTGTAAATTTTACATTACACAACCTATTAAACACTTTGTACAAAATCAGTTTAGTTTTAACAAAGACTAAACTTTTGCAACCAGAAGTTACAACTGTGTAGTTGGTGTCATCTGGTTTTTAATATGATCAATATGCTGTTTGGCTAAAACCCAACCAGTAAATAAATCACCTTGACTCAGTCATGATAAATCTGTTTATTTTTGTCATGTCAATAACACACTTAATGGGTCACTTCTACCACAGTGGTTCTTATTCTGTGAAAAGCCTTGCAGATATGAAGTGGTGAATGTTAACAAACACAAGACGTTCTGTGATGTTTGGATCGAATATTCAAACAACCTCAAATCTGTCTGTGACAACTACTGATTTTACCACATCCCTGGAGAAGATTAAACACCAACTTCACCCACAATTCTCCTAACAGAAACCTTGATCAAATGGAAAAGAACACTTAAAATATATAAAACAACATAAAAAATGATAAACAAGTAAATATGTGCATTGTGTACACAGATCAAAACAGGCAAGTGTGGCAGCTCTTTTTACAAGGCGAAGCGTTGATTTCAGACTAAAACATGTGCATGTATACAGTATTCCATCAGTGCTGTGAGATACATTTCATAAGCTATCTTATTGCTATTGCATACATTCAGTCTAGCATGTTTTAAATACAATAATTTGCACGTTTAAAAAAAATGCAATTTTTCTCTGTTAGAGAGTACAACTCTTCCTGCTGCCTGCATGAGCAAAGAGAGGGAAGCTCCTGCTAATGGATAACATTTCTGACACATTCAAGCAGTTCAGCTACATAACAGTAATTTCCTCCATAAAATCTGGTGTCCTAATGCTGCTCATGTTCTGGCACCTTTAAACAAACAAACCGCTCAGTTCCTGTTTTATAAAGATGGAAACAGAGCAGCGACACAACAACATAGTGCTGAAATAGACAAATTAACGTGGAAGACGTTGAATATAATTTTGTGATTATAGTAGAAAATACTGTATTTATATTATGATCACATCCTAGAGTTGCATTTGGACCTAAAAAATCCGGCCCCAGCCCGTAGCCATTTTTTCCAAGCCTGGCCCGATAAATTAACTGTACAGGCCCAAACCTTTTTTTTATTTTTTTATTAAGCTTTAACTGCTTTTGTAAGCAAATCAATTTGACGTGATAGTTTTAAAAATGTAACGAAAGGAAAATATAAGATTTCTTGTTTATTAACAAGTCACCAAATGGATATTAACATACAAAATGAATAGCCTAAAAAAATAAATAAACTCTAAAGATAGGCTATTATACAGATGAACAAAAATATTTTAGAGCAAAATTATTTGGAAAAATTTAGAACAAGGCTATTTTAATTGAACGCGCTGCTCGCTTCGGCTTTTGTGCTTCAGATGCTGCAACTTTCTTCACCGCAGATGACAGCGGGATGTGGAGAGGGAAGCGCACAGCCGATGATCCGGTTGTCCGTCTGAAACTTAACGCAACTTTTTTTTTTTACCTCTTTCAACCGCCGGTCGGACCTGAGCGTGCACCTGACACACATTAGAGTTCTCCCATTTTTAATACTTTCCAGCTCCATTATGTCGCTTGTTGTGGGTCAATTGCAAATCCTCAGATGTGTGGTAAGAGCGAAGGGCAAGCGGGGCCACATGCGCAATTAAAACCGCATCAAAAGCCCGACCCGGGCTGCTCATCAAGCACTTTGGCCTGACCTGGCCCGAATTTCAGGTCGGGTCGGGTCTGGCTGGGGGCTCGGGTCAAAAATCGCAGCTCTACCACGTCCTAATGAAACTCAACCATTTTAGCCATAATGTTGACCTTTTTATTGGACAGCTTTGGTATAAGGCAGTGCAAAGATGAAAAGTATGGTTTCTCTTTGTGTGTCTTGTTTAGGTCACGTTTCAGCTTATAGCTCTTTGATAATCACAAAAATCAATTTACACGAGTCTAACAAGTTTAAATCAGGTCCTCTGACTAAAGAAACAAATAGATGGACTAAAAGGGACATTTTTTCTTTCAGTTTTCTGTTGTGTAAAGAAACAACAGTGGTTTATTTGTTGAGTTTAGGAGTGTGTGAGTGATTCAGAGGTCAGAGTTAAGTGGTTTAAGAAAGGAAACAGAATTCCTCTGAAAACTCAGGTATTGGACAGAACATCTGTGACAAAGCTGCCATGTAATAAATACATCATGAGACGTCTGTGTTATTACTCAAATGAAGACTTGATTTCATTTTAAGATTAAAAAAAAGTTTTGTAAAAGTTTTATTTCATGCAATATAGCGAGCTGACAAGAATTCTTTATATGAAATAATGCAAAGGGTCATAACTCCGGTAAGAGAGGGTGCAGCACAGAATGTCAGGAGTCGTTCTCTCATTTCCACCAAGTTTCATCAAATTCCTTCAAAAGGAATAAAAGGAGTCAAGTCTTTATCACGTTTCTTTCATGTAGAACAAATAATGTGTGCAAACAGAAACCATTTTCTGCACTTTATATTGTACATTGTGAGCAGCAACGTGGTTGGACAAACAAGCGGGTCTCTCAGCTCAGGACTGATTGTTCTAAAGTTTTGTTATAAAAATATTTAAAAAAAAAGGATTATTTCTAAACTGAACACAGAGAATAACTTTTAAGGTTAGTTCCAATTTGAATTTCATATACCGGTACTTAATATAAGTAGAAGCAATAGGTTATTATTTCAAATAATAATAGGTGTTTTTGGTCAATTTTAATAGAAGCCAAATTATTGGTTTTCTTTCTCTCTAATTTGATCAAACTAAAAACTAATTAACACAGACAAGTGTGGAAGTTTAGACCCCTCTCTTACTTATTTCCAGTTTGAAGTTGGCAGCTCCTGTTTTTAATTTGAAGTGTTTTGACAGTTTGTGTTGGGATCAACATGACTGCACCACAAGCAGCAACACACACACACACACACACACACACACACACACAGACAAAATATGTTGGTGCAGAAACACCATCACAGACAAGCCAACCAGTGACAGACAAACAATAAACACAATGAGTCAGTTTGGCAAATCGGTGGTGCAGATGGTGTTCCATCCATCTACAATCCCAATTTCTGTACTTTAGTCATTTGTATCTGCACAAAAGAGGAAAACACGAAATGATAGTTTAAAGTTGTATTCCACAATGATCACTAATTTCCCAACTGCTCAGTCATTGTAAGAATGGCTGTAAGTAACTAAAATGAAAATGCTTTCTTTTTACCTCATGCTGTTATATCAGATTCTCTCTAAAGTCTACATACTGCACCATCTGCTTGAGAGCAGGGGAGGAGACTAAAGTGACAGGAACAATTGGAGTACCGGGCGTAGTAGAACCGGGAGTCGAGGCTGCAGGAGTCGAGGCTGCAGGAGTTGAAGCTGCAGGAGTCGATGCTGCAGGCGTGGTGGCCCCAGGCGTCCCACCTGGAGTAGTACCTGGCGTTACACCTGGAGTGGCAGGAATAACAACAACAGGAGATGGACCAGGGCTTTCATCCCCACCTCGAGGCTCCAGTCGTGGGGTGGATGTGATAAAGCGGGCTTCTCTGATCCGATAGGGGCTTCGGTAGGCAGAGATGGGTGACAGCTCTGAACCCCAGCCAAGATAGCTCCCACTGGAGGGTGAGGGTGCATCTGCACTGAAATACAGCGTGGTGCTGGATTCTACAGGGAGCACCGCTTTGTGCTCTGGGGAGCCAATAAGGAGAGGGGAGCGCCTCTCCGGTGACCAGCCGGGGGTCTTGATGTCTAGAGACCCCACAGAGGAGGATGCCTCGGTCAGAGAGGCAACGTTGCTGTCGATGTGACGGAGGCTTCCAGCTCGTTGTGGAGATGAAAGTGAGGGTGAGCCACAAGCAGCACTCTGAAACTCCTCATCACCTTTAAATAAAAACAACATCCAAACATGAATTTGTGTGGACATACTGTATGTATTTGTCTGCACACTGTTACTATTGGTCTCTAACCTTTTTCATCTGAGAGCGGTGCACTTGATTCTTCCTCTGCTGTTTCTTCAGGAATGATCTCGTGGACTGGGATGATCTCTGGAAACCGTCTCATGTCCTGGATGGTTGTGGGAGGAGCTCTTCTCACAGGTCGAGCCACAATGCTGGAGTGAGCTGGTTTTGGTGGCTGGACCACTTCCCTCACCTGAGTAAAAGAGAGAGGTACTTGCAAAGTGGCTTAGACTGAACTTGGAAGCAGCGGAAGAAAAATCTGCTCTAATAACTCGCATCCCTTTAGTTAAATTTACATATGATTCAGTGGTTTAAAGTAATTTAAGTTGTATATTTTTTGGAAAGAGGATCAGTTTAATGAAAATCTTACCTGTGGTGCCTGGGTCACTTTTGGTGGAGCAGGCTGAGGAACTGGCTGTGAGATCTGAAGAACCCGTGGCTGAGGAGGTGGAACCTGACAAATCAGAACAAAAATTAAAAACATCTTCTTAAACGAGATCCCAACTGGAGCAAATGGGGAATGTTTATTCTTCCACAAAGTTTCCATCTTTATTTAAAAAAAAAAAAAACATTTCAAATTTAAGAAAACACGATTTAACTTGGACTCAGGAGGCCAACAAACCCGAGGAACATGATGTGTATCAGGGGAGTGAACCTCTTCAGAAAGACCCATCAGTCCGGCCAGACCCCCTTCACCATACGCAGACCAGATCCTTGAGACATTCCCCGTCTTGAGAGCCAAGCGAATCAGCAGCCAGTGGTGATGTTTCCAGCCTTCCCATTGGATAGGAAGGTCCATGAGGGTTCCACCACCTGATCAGAACATCCAGACTCATTTGTTGGCATGTTAGATGTAAAAAGTATTACATATATGTGGATTGATCTGTGGTTGATTCACAGACCAGACAATGTTGCATGGCGATGGAAAGCGGGTGCGACTTTCTCCTCCAGTGAGAGAATAGATCCACGCTCCACGCAGGCTCCACCTATTCCCCTGTGACGAATACTTTGGAAGATCTCAAAAGACTTTGGGTGGAGGAAACGGTAGTAAAGCACCAGTGCTATCACTCCTGCAGAAGGAAAAACAGGTAACAAAATGAGAAACAAGGAAGATTTAAACTTTATCTAAAAAATATGAAAATGGTAGTCGTATTTAGAGTATTTAGTTAAAAAAAACAAGACATAAACAAATAGCGTTGCACAAATGTATATTTTTTGCAGCAAGTGAATGTCTCACCAATGAGGAAGCTGCAGAACACTGCGGCTGGAATACCCACAGTGTCCCAGGACACCATGGCAAACAACCAGGAGGAGGCCAGAAGGAGAAAAGCGTTCTCTAAAAACATGACCTGTGAAGAATGAGCAGAAACGAAGACTATCAGAAAGGTTGATGATCCTTCCTGAAAATTATATCAGATTTAGTAGAACTTGTCTTATAATCAGTTTATATCTTTCTTCTTTTGACTTTTCCCTCTTCAGGGGTTAACACAGCGAGTCATCCTCCTCCATCTCACTCTGTCCTCACTCCATCTACCTCCATGTCCTCTCTAACTGCATCCATGTATCTCCTCTTTGCCTTTTTCCTGGCAGCTGCATTTCTAACATCCTTCTACCAATATACCCACTGTCCCTCCTCTGGACATGTCCAAACCATCTCAGTCTGACCTCTCTAACTTTATCTCCCACTTGTTCAAATTGTGATGTACCTCATTTGCCACATTTAGAGTTGCCACCCTCAGTCCTACATTCTTCACTTTCCTCTTCTCCCTCTGTCTCCTGACACGTTTTCCTCCTCATGGTCTTCGACTAACAGTAGAACAATTTCTGCCAGCACCCTGTTTGTCAACAGCACCAGTCGTAGTTAACTCGAGCCTCGACCGATATGCTGCTTAGATGAACTCGCAAAGCGTTTTACTTCAGATGTCCTTCCTGACACAACCCTCACCATTTACCCGGGCTTGGGATCGGCACAAGAGAAACATGGCTTGTTCTCCCTAGTGGCTGGTTTAATCAGTTTATATCTGACAAACATTATGCAGATTGAGTAGCTGCATCATTTGATATTCACTTTGTGACATCTAGACAAGATTGGCAACTTTTATAACACATGACGAAAAAAATGAATCAAGCGTCATCTATGACGTTAAATGAGTTGAGACTGTGTTTTTCCCTTCAGTTTGATGTGAAGTTTCTTCTTCAATCCGAAACTGTACAAACGTGATGTGTTCACAGACCCACACATACCAGGTAAAACCCAGTCATGCGATATCTGGATGGTCCGTACTTCACATTCAGGAAGAGAAAGATGTGAACGGCACCAAGGACGAGGTTGAAGAGTCTCCATCGGCTTGTTGAGCGTATGATGTCGGTCTGCTGAGACACCATCCAGAAAGTGGTACCCAGCCAGTGCACACCTGAAATGACACAAATGCATCAGATGCACAAGTGGGAACTGAAAATGTTTTATGGTAGAGAAAATGGGCACACCTTCTTCACTTACATCTTTACTTCACAGAAAGTGCAAGCAGCAAATTTGAACTTTGAGACAAGTTCTGTAGCGTCCAGACTTACCAATGACTCCCAGGACCCATTGTTTGAAGATACGTGTAAAGAGCATGAGCACAGCAAACCTAGATCCCAACATACTGACCTGCAGATAAATCAAATTCATTAGTTCACAGCAAAAAAAAAAAAAAAAAAAAAAAAGAAAATGCCAAAACGACAAGTTAAAATGTCGACAAGCATAATCTGTAATCCTATTATTTTAAGGCAGAAGGTGTGTGCTGTCCATATTGGTTGTTATATAAGGTTATTTAATTATTCCCACCCTCCACAGCAGTCGACAGAGAATAGCAGCTGGTGTCATCTGTAAGTGTCCCGGTCTGATGAGGGAACAGGCTCGAGCATAGAGGACCAACGCCCAGGCCAGAGATAACAAACACACAGCGAAACACACCGAGGCTGCAGGGAGGAGACAGAGGACGGATGCAGAGAAGAAATGTGAGCACTTTGATCCACTGAAATGCACACTGAACTACAAAGATGGAAAAGAATATCTTGAAAATGACCTCCTACATTTTGGAATTATGATGTGGAAAAAGTTGCAACAACCAGTGTGTACACATCATGGCCATTCCCTCATATTACAGTTGCTGCTAAGCAGATATAAAATATCTCAGTTAAACATCATCATTTTTAAAACATTTTCTGTTCTTTGTGATTTTTTGTTCTTTCTGCAGTGCAACACCAAGCTGTTCTTTTGTGACACCAAACAACTGATACTTGACGGCATTTTGATGGATTACAGACTGGAGCACCACAGCATCGACATGAGCACACTGTAAATTTAGACTGAATAAAAGAAGAGTCCTACAGTTAGGAGGTGATTCATCAGATTTCTAACCATCAGTTTGTGATCGAGGATGCTGATATCACTGATATAAAACCTATAGTGGCACAAAATCAGCGATCGAGAATAAATTATGAAAAGAATGATATGAAGACCGTCTATTTTTTTTCCAGCTTGTCTAGTTACTATACCATACCATACCACTTTATTTATAGGGCACTTAAAACAGCAACAAGGCCAACCAAAGTGCTGTACAGACAAAACAACAGGTAACACACAAAGCAAAATACAAAATGAGGTAAATCAGAATATAGACATAAGAACGATGCAGATAATGACGACAAACCAGTGTGGAGCATACAGGATCAAGACACAGATCATCTGGTGTTGAAAGCTATTGAAAAGTAGTGAGTTTTTAAGCGGGACTTGAAAACCGAGAGGGAGGGGGCCTGTCTGACAAGCAGAGGTAACTCGTTCCAGAGTCTTGGTCCTGCTACAGAGAAGGCCCTGTCACCTCTGCGCTTAAGACGAGTTCCTGGAACTGTGAGGAGCAACTGGTCCGCTGACCTCAGGGAGCGTGGTGGGACATACGGTTGTAGCAGATCAGCGAGATATGGGGGGTGAAACTGTTCAGTGATTTGTAGACATACATGAGTATTTTGAACTGGATTCTAAGGTGAACTGGCAACCAGTGCAGTGAGGCCAAAACTGGTGTAATATGCTCTCTTTTGCCTGTACTGGTTATAAATCGGGCTGCTGCATTCTGGACCAGTTGCAGTCGTGCAATGGAGGTCTGACTGATACCAAACAGGAGCGAATTGCAGTAATCAAGCCTAGATGTAATGAATGCATGTATTACTGTCTCCAGGTTCTTTTTGGACAATATGGGCTTCAGTTTAGACAGCCGCCTCAGTTGGAAGAAGCATGATTTAACAATCATGTTTACATGATTGTTAAGTTTCAGGGAAGGGTCCATTATCACACCCAGATTAGTGACTCTTTGTTTTTCTGACAGGGTTAGAGCGGAGAGGTCGATACAGTGGTTTGTGATCGTGTCGTTGGGAGGGAACAACATGACTTCAGACTTCTTTTCATTGAAACTTAAGAAATTTAAAGCCATCCAGTCACTGATGTCAGCCAGGCAGTTCCGCAGTGGTTGAATAGAGCATGTACCATTGTGTCTTAGGGGGAAGTAAATTTGACAGTTATCGGCATAGAAGTGGAAGGGCATGTTGTGTTTCCGGAAAATAGCACCAAGTGGCAGCAGGTACAAAGAGAATAGGAGGGGACCCAGGATGGACCCCTGCGGAACCCCCCATTTAAGCTCTGCCTCTGCGGAACTAAAATCTTTGATGGAGACACAAAAGGATCTGTCAGTGAGGTAAGATCTGAACCAATTGAGGGCTGATCCTGTGACGCCCACCCACTGCTCCAACCTAGCAATGAGGATCCCATGGTCGATGGTGTCAAAGGCGGCTGTGAGGTCCAACAGGACAAGCAGCACAGAATCACCGGTATCTGTGAATCTGAAGATGTCGTTAAAGACCTTCAGCAGGGCAGTTTCAGTGCTGTGGAGAGGTTTAAAGCCAGATTGGAAAAGCTCTAAGATGGCGTGATCCTCCAGGAAGCACTTCAACTGGGACTCGACTATTTTCTCTAGTACTTTAGAAACAAATGGGAGTTTGGAGACAGGCCGGAAGTTGGACACGACTGAGGGGTCAAGGTTTGGTTTTTTTCAGGAGAGGCTGGATGGAGGGCAGCATGTTTAAAGGATTTTGGCACCACGGCAGTGGATAAACTACTGTTTACTATAGCAAGAATGGACGGACCTAGAGTTGGAAACACCTCCTTTAGTAGTCGAGGGGGAACCACATCAAAGGGGGAACCAGAAGGATTCAAGTTGCACATGATCTGCTCTAGAGAAGATAGAGTGATGGGTTCAAAATGGTCAAAAGGAGCTACAGATTGAGGTGGGATGGATGGGTCATGAGTAGGAGGGGAAATGAGAGCCCTGGTTGTCGCAATTTTTTCCAAAAAGAAATGTAAGAAGTTGTCGCACAGCTCAGTCGAGGCTTCCAGAGGTGATGGTTCAGTGAGGTGGAGAACAGAGTTTAGGGTGGAGAAGATGACACGTGAGTTTGAGAGTTTGAGGTAATTATATCAGAGGAGTATTTGGATTTAGCAGCTTTTACAGTTGACTTCCTAAACCTGCCTGATGCCTGCGCAAATAACAAAATCTAGCAGTCAAGTCAAAGCAAAACAGCAATAAACTTGAAATAGGCTATCTGAAAGAACTGAGATATATCCTTAGAGCTGGTAGCTGCTTTCACTCAGTAATGAACTATTTCCTACTGCTTCTTAACTGTGTTTTTCCAATTTAATTTGACGTTATACTAATTATTTAGTAATTCTTGTGTCATTTTTATTATTTTCAGACTAAGACTCAGGTGAAACTAGTGACCACCAGTGGTGATTTTAGCCTCTTTTTGTGGGGTGCCCAAGCACCCCTAAATTTTAACTCAGCTCCCATGAAAAATTGAGATCATCATTAGGATTTTGTAAGGAAACTCAGTTCTCAAACCTTAGATTCACTAAAATATTGAATAAATTTGGAATAAAATGGAATAAATCATGACACTCTTAAACAGGACAGTAAAATCAGATTTTATTTTAAACGAGTCAGCTCCTCTATGCCACTTGACAATCAATCCAGTAGGCTCATCAGCAACTGACCAATCAGCGACCTCAAATTGTCCCGAAGGTAAACGCCCCTTACCTGCAGGAGCTCCACCCTCTTTTTCTCCAACTACATTTTTGGGGTTTTGCATTATGAACACTTTGCGGTCAGAGGGATTTTGTGAAAAATCATCAGAAAAAAATGGTTAAACGTTGTCATTGGAGAACATGTAATTCAAACAGCGTTACTCTGAGTGTTTAGAGGGTGGACTACAGTTTATTCCATTTCCAAAATCTAAATGGAGTCTGGTAAAATGTAAAAGATGGATAAAGCCCTGCGACCGACCTCATGAGCAGCTCACTACAATTTATAAACAGGAAGTACCACATGTTCATCTAAGGCAACTGAAAGTAAATCTTTAATTTTTTGTTATAATTACATTGTATGCTTAATGGTTAAATTAAAGGTTAATACTTAAAGCTAGTTGTACTTTGTTTTATGTGTTTTATATGTAGAGTATGTTGCAACTTCTGGTTACATAAGTTTAGTCTTTATGATCAGTTAACGCTAAACTGATTTTGTACAAAGTGTTTATTAGGCTGTGTGTAATATAAAGCGAAGCGCTACATCTGTAGCATCTTAGCTAGCGCGTCTGTATTGCACGCCGCTAGCTTAGCGCTACTTCTTGTTGTGCCGAGCTCTCGAAAAGTTATTGAATCAAGCGTTTACTTATGTAGGTAAATGTAGATGTTTAAAAACCTGTTAAAATACACCAGAATGCAGGAAATGGCATCTACTTTATTCAAAATTTTCTGGGGAGTGACACACCCAGTGCCCCCCCCACACACACTTTACAAATGCTTCTGATGCCAATGGCCACTGCGTTGTTCAAGCCAAGAGCCATCGTCAACACTCGGGGCTGAGCACCCCCAAAGTTCAGATTCTAGAATCACCCCTGGCGACCAGCCTAAACACCAAAGGCCAAAAATGGCGAGACTGTATTTTTCTATAGTTTAACCTCACCAAGACTGAGAAGGACCTGCAGATTGAACTATTTTTTTCTTAGTTGATTATCACAACAGCTCTTATAAAGTTACATTTTTTTCTGCCTTTGTTTCAAACTCTTTCTGCACTTCACATTCAGCCTCTCTGCTCACCGGGAGACTTGACTCCTATGTCTGTACAGATGAGGACGTAGGTCTGGAGCAGCGTCTCAGGGAGGGTCACCACCAGGGCTTCAAACAGACGTAAGGCAGACACATCAGCCTGCTGCATGATTTCACTGTACAAATCCTCATCAGACAGACGCATACAATCCCACAACCTGAGTGCCAAACATGGAGACAAATGAGGCAAAGAAAGTAATTCATATTTCTTCAGAAGTATATCAAATAAAATAAGGTCACCTTTTGAAGATACCCAAGTGCAAAATGTGTGTCCATCTGAGAGACTTCCTGGGGATCCGTCCGTCCGACAGGTACCACAGATAACTGAGACACTGTGGGCCCCAACCTGAGAGACACAGCGGGACAAAAAATTTAAGTTACACTTTAAAACTGTCTCAGCTTCTTTTACTTTCATTGTATTGATCTGTGTTGTCTTCATCACCTGGCAGCAAGAAGAGCGCTGTGAAACCAGCAAGGTAGGCATAGCAGTAGTTGTGACCCACCCACAGGTAGTACACAAAGCAATAGATCACTGGTAAAACACAGAAAACAGTCAGACAGGACAGAAAAATACTCTCTGAAATACTAAAGGTTGACTCATTAAAAAGAGAATTAATTCCAGACGTTAAATATGTCAGGTTTAGATATATTTAGCTTTTTTTTTTTTTTTTTTTTTTATAATTTTACATTTATATTTGGGATCCTAAGAAAATGTTCATGACATACTTGTTAAGGTTATAGTGTCACAGCCCTCTTGCATATTTTGATTTTAGAGTTCTTTTGTTTGCCGCTTTGATTTAGATTTTAAGGATAGATGCTGAAACACTTGACTTTGTTTCATCCTTCTATATTTGTCAAGTCACATCCTGACAGAATATGTTAAAAACAAAAACTGGCTCTTTTATTTTCAAATCTTGGTTAAAAAAATACTCAAGACACCAACCATTTGGTTTATTTCCTTTGTACATATGTAAGTAATACTTTTCTAATTAGAAGTAGCATAAACTTCTTCTTTTTTCATCTTTTCCCTCTTCAGGGGTTGAGTCATCCTCCTCCATCTCACTCTGTCCTCACTTCGTCTACCTCCATGTCCTCTCTAACTTCATCCATACATCTCCTCTGTCTTTTTCCTGGCAGCTGCATTTCTAACATCCTTCTACCAGTATACCCACTGTCCCTCCTCTGGACATGTCCAAACCATCTCAGTCCGGTCTCTCTAACTTTATCTCCCAGTTGTTCAACGTGTGCTGTACCTCTGATGAACTCATTCCTAATTTTATCCATCCTTGTCATTCCTAAGGAGAACCTCATCTTCATTTCTGCCACTTCCAGTTCTTTCTCCTGTCTTTTTGTCAATGCCACTGTCTCCAGACCATACAACATAGCTGGTCTCACCAATGTCCTGTAAACTTTTCCTTTGACCTTTGCTGACACCGTTTTGTCACAAATCACTCCTGAAACTTTTTTGTAGTCCCACCTCCACCTTGAAACTATCTGTCACTCCTACAGCACATCTCACCACTGCTATACATTCTCTGCCACTCCAGATTTCCCCATGCAGCACCACAGCTCCTCCTTCTGCACACTCAGCGTTTTTTTTTTCTAAACCCACAGACACAATAAAGTTTTTCTGACCATCTCCGTACTTCATCTGCAGCCTCTAAGCAAATATGGCATCCGGTTGCTGCTCACCATAGTCTCGTTTCAGTCCAGCTTCCACGACTCTCCCAGATCTTCATCATGTGACTCATCAGTGTAACTAACCTGTAGCTTACTGGAAACCCATTTTCAGCCACAATTTCACACCACACAATACACCAGTGTGGAACAATAGGTACATTCTGATTAATAAAAAATCTATATTTATTGAGGAATGGTGTTCTAAAGACGTATGGGCCGTGGCCCATTTTATGGACAACGAAGGAAACATTTTACAATATGAAGAGTGCTGTAAAAAAATTCAGATCCATTGTGATGCGATTAAATATAACCAAATTTTAAAGGCTATTCCAGTCTCTCTTAGGGCTATGGTGAGACAAGATATTATATTATCTGATATTTCCCCTGGTCTGAAACAACTCTGTATTGATGGAGTTGCTTTCTCTGACTATCAATGTAACAAAAAATTTTTGCGAAACAAACTACTGCATCACTACTCTCCTAACTTAATTAGGAGAGAATATATTCTGAAGGACTTTAGTAAAGAAGACATCAAAAAGATCAGAACTAATTTTATATTATTTCCGGTCCCTCCTAAAGCCAAAGAAATTTATCCTACTAAGGAATTTCTAAGGACAAAATTTAAAATGGACACTGGGAATTGTGTTTTCTGTGAGACAGAGAACCTGGAACATCTTTTCTTTGATTGCATGATAGTTCAGCAATTTTGGCTTGATTTTAAAATGTGGATCCAATCCAAAGGGATTCAGCTACTTACTCTCACTTTAAAAGAAATCAAATTTGGGTTAATTAATAAGATTGGAAATAATGAATATGCTATCAATAATTTGATTATATTAGCTAAACATTATGTTCATAAATGTCGTTTCTTCAAATGTAAACCTAATATGAACCACTGGAAGAATGAGCTAAAGTCCTATGCAAAATCATTAAAATATGTAAAAGGAAAAAAATGCTGACAAATTTCTTAGCTTCTTGGTTAATTTCAATTTCCTCATACAATGCCCTTTTTTTCTCTCTCTCTCTCTCTCCTTCATTATTTCTTTTATTTCTATTATGTTATGAATCAAGGCAGCACGGTGGCGCAACTGGTAGAGCTGCTGCCTCTCGGCGAGCAGGTCCTTGGTTCAAACCCCGGTCCAGGGGCCTTCTTGGTGGAGTTTGCATGTTCTCTCCGTGCATGCGTGGGTTTTCTCCGGGTGCTCCGGTTTCCTCCCACAGTCCAAAAACATGCATGTTAGACTGATTGGTAACTCTAAATTGTCCCTAGGTGTGAGTGAGCGAGTGAATGCTCGTTTGTCTCTATGTGTCCCTGTGATGGACTTGCGACCCGTCCAGGGTGTACCCCGCCCCTCGCACAGTGATTGCTGGACATGGGCACCGGCGACCCCCGTGACCCAAAATGGAATAAGCGGGTAAAGAAAATGGATGGATGGATGTTATGAATCACCTTTTGTAACTTTCGATTGTAAGAATTTGTACTTTTTGTTTTGTATTGTTATGGTTAAATAAAGTAAAAAAAATATATTAAAAAAAATAACCTGTAGCTGCTACAACTCTATATCCCCCTTAGCACCAGCACAATTCACTATTCTTTAGACATTTTTGCATCTAAATAGCAAAGTCAAATGCAATAACTAAAGAGTTCTGGACTTCTACTTCTGCGATGCACTTACTGCAGAATTGGGAGTTAAAGTTTGATAAAATTAAGACCATTTTGCTCTGGACTACAGTGTTCTGTACATGTTTTAAACCCAACGGAACAAAAACAACATACAGGAATGTTTATGTTCATATCTTTTGAGGTATTACTTTATAAACTTTTTTTGGGAGAGGTAGCGCGGAGGTTAGAGAAGGTGGGCCTGTGATCGGAAGATCACTGGTTCAACTCCCGGTATACCGACAACATCAAAATGTGGGTGGAAAGGGTGAAACACCCACACTTGCCTCCACCCTCATTTGCCCCACTCTGTGCCCTTGAGCAAGGCCCTTAACCCCCACCATCTGCTCCCCCAGCAGCTCTCTGCTCCACACAGAGGGCTGTGGTAGCTCGGTGGTCTGTGGTTGTGTCAGGAAGGACATCTGGTGTAAAAAAAAACAATTGCCAAGTCTTCGTGAGACTTTTTAGTTCACAGAAGAAGGGAGCAGTTGAAAAAATAAAGAACTTTAGAAACTTTTTTTAGAATACAAAGTATAAAATATGTATTTTTCTTTGATGGAAGTTGAGAGTGGCTCATCAGTTCATGTTTGTTTGGGATAAATTGGAGCATTTAATGTCAGGATGTGGGATAAATGGTTTAAACGACCTCTGCTCCTGTGCTGCTCCACTGCCTTCTCCATCCCTCCATCCCTCCATACATGTAATCTGAAGCCTTTGAGCAGCCGAACGGGCTGTCCGACCGAACTAGGCCCCATGTGGGGGTGAACGCCCATCCCTCATCCATCCACTCCCCTCCAGAAAAGGGCGCTGAAATACAACAACATGGCTCCGATGAACGGCTTTGTTCAAGACAAACCACGCAGCCTGGGACGTTTTAGAGTTGAAGACATTGAAATATTCTGACATGAGTCAGCAGTGTTGCAGCGTGCGGCTTTTCACGCAAAAACAAGAAAGCGGCGCAGATCTGCGGACCGTGCTGTTCAGCACGGAGAGAAAGGCTTTGCACCAAAATGTGCAACTTCATGTTGCCCCCCCCACACACACACACACTTAGACGAAATCCCGCACGTCTCCCCTCTGCTCACGCGCACACATCTACACACTGTAAATGCACGCACGTGCACACTATTATAAAACACAAGCTCAGACTCAGAGACATCATTAATTAACAGACTGTGGGTGGTAAACAGTGCAATGTGTGTGAGTGCGCGCGCGCGGATGTATGTGCGTGTCCCAGGTAGGACTCACGCGCCGTCCTCTCAGCAACGATGAGAAATGCGGTAAAAGCAAAGACGCAAAGTTGACCGCACGGCCCGCAGCCGCCCGCGTCGCTCGGAGCGGCCGAGTAGTCCCTCATGCCGGCCCGAACACCCGAACCGTCTCCGCTGGGTTCTCCTGAAGCGATGGAGTCTCTCTCTGCAGGGCTGGTTCTGGTCCGGGTTCGGTCCGGCTGCGGCAGCCCGTCCCAAACGTCAGCAGCGCCCGGGCGGTGCAGTTAAAGCGACATGCAGCTGCAGCTGCAGAGTCCAGATGCGCTGCAGCTTGTGCATCACAAACAGCCTGAACATGTCAACAAAAACAAACATCAGCATGCATGTAGCATTAACTTGCATACTTGAACAACTCAACTGTGGCTGGAAGAGCTCAACCAGAACATTATACTTTTATTGCCTTTATTTGTATTTTTTAATTATTATTTCTTGTGGTTTGAAAACTGCCAGCAGGTGTCATTGAGATGTTTAGTCAAATAGTAATGATTCATTTACAGCAGATCTGACAGTCAGTGGGGTAATCTACATTTGGGTACTGTGCGTAGAAACCAAAGTACAAATCGTTTATTTTTATTTGTTATTTTTATTTTTATTTTTTTTTAAGCATATTGAACATTTCAAAATTTCTCTGATGCTTACAACAAACTTTGTATTTAAAACGTTATAGAATTTATAAAACAGTATCAAAGTAAAACATGCTCAAGTATTAAGTAGTATCAATTATACCCATACCATACCAATTTATTTATAGAGCACTTAAAACAGCAACAAGGCCAACCAAAGTGCTGTACAAAAGAAAACAAACATGCACAGCAGACAGGAAAACATAAAATAAAAATACAGATACAAATAGCAGCAGAAGCTAACTAAAATGGCCAACAGTGTAGAGAACAGACCGGACCAAAACAAATCACACCGTGTTAAAGGCAAGAGAATAGAAGTGGGTCTTCAAGCGAGACTTTTTAAAGACTGAGAGTGTGGGAGCCTGCCGGACACTCAGTGGCAACTCATTCCACAGTCGTGGACCTGCAACAACTGTCACCTCTGAGCTTACGACGGGTTTCTGGGACTGAGAGAAGCATCTGGTCTGCTGACCTCAGAGAGCACGGTGGGACATATGGCTGCAGAAGATCAGTGAGATAGGATGGGGCGGAACTGTTCAGTGATTTAAAAACATACATGAGAATTTTGAATTGGATCCGAAGGTGAATGGGTAGCCAGTGCAGGGAGGCCAAAACTGGCGTGATGTGCTCTCTATAGCCTGTACCAGTTAAAAATCGAGCTGCAGCATTTTGGACCAGTTGTAGACGAGCAATGGAGGACAAAAAACAGGTTGAACCAACTGTGTCTATAAAATGTTCCAGATGTGTTGACAATGACACGAGCCCATGTCATGATGTCATGTATCATTGCCTATACGTGACATGGGCTCGTGTCATTGGGCACTTTTAAATGGGTATACTGAAATTTCCAAGCTTTTCTAGTGGATATACTCCGTATACCTGCATTTCACATAGACTACACCACTGCAGTGATGTCTTCAGGAACATGATCAACTGACAAAGAAAATGATAATTGTGGAAGGAGTGAGAGATTGGGGGAAAAAAAAACAACTAAAACCTGAAACATGATAAAACTATGTATTACATATGTATGTATAGGCTATATATGGGCTGCTGTTGCATCGTATTGTTTTACATTATTAGCACTTAGATCTTTAGTAGCCTTCATTTAGCGTAGGCCTATATCTTGTATCTTAGATCCTTATATACTGTTTCTTTTTTTAATTTTTTGCTATTTTTGGGTGCAACTGGGACCCTCATGTACCACATGTGATGCGAATGACAATAAACTTGACTTGAACTTGATGAGTTCATATCTTAGATCTTTTTACTGTTTTTCTTTTACATTCTAATACTTTTGTTGGATGTAACTGGGACCCTGTATACATAATTTAATTCCACCACATGTACCACATGGGTTGCGAATGACAAATAAAAAACCTTGAATTTCTTTCTATCTTCATTTATTCATACTACTCTTTACCAGTTGGTGGCGGTAGAGCGCCCTGACGGTGTTTGTCGACCACCAACATACGAAGAAGAAGAAAGAGGACGAAGAAGGAAATTACAACTACTGTACACTCGTTTTAATTAAACCTGAACGATAGCTGCCATTAAAGACAATAATTAGCAGCTATGTGGAGAACACAAGTCAAACAGCGACTGGAGGCAGCGGTGGAAGACATATTGTGGATTTTTGAAAGAACAGTCGCAAATTATGAAGAAGAATTGGTGCGTTCAAAGAAAAATGAGATGCAGAGCTACACCTCTGGTTCTGTTTTCATCCCCAAAGATCAGCTGCGCATGATGGGTTTGTAGTTTTTAAACTTTATTTCTGTCGGCTTTGACTGTGTTAGCTGCAGTTTAGTCACAGTTTCTCTCCGGCTAATAGATTAGCTTCTTCAGAAGGAACTTGTAGCTTAGCATGCTAACTGACGTCACAACAGCGGAAGCTTGGGGCCTTTTCAAAATAAATATTCAAGCTTTTTATTATTTGTCCTTCTCTTTTATTAAATAAAACAACGAAACACAAATTAGCACACTGTTTTTATTTTCTCGCACAAGTGATGCTCGTGTAACTGAAAATCTCAACAGTCTAAAATGCCACATGTGTTTCAGCGTTGCCTGCAAAAAATCAGCTGAAGGCGCCGAGTAAAGAAGGTGCCCCTGAAGTGCCGAGACCGGACGTGGACCAGCGGGAACTCGAACCTCTCTGCATAAAAGAGGAGGAACGCTGGATTAGTCTGGAGGGAGAGGAGGTCACTGGGAGAAAGGGGACTGATGCCACCAGGTTTCCCTTCACTGCAGTTCTTCTGAAAGAAGAGGATGATGATGGCATCGCTGTATTCTCACAGCTTCACCAGCAGCAAGTGGAGGCCAGAGAACTTCCAAGCAGAAGCTCAACTGACCTAATGACAGCAGCAAATGTTGGAGAGGACAGTGGAAGAGCAGAATCTACCATGAGCCTAGCAGTAAATACTCTGGAAGACAATTCCAGCTCTTCAGAGACTGATGCCAGCGAGGATGATGATGACGATGATGTGAGCAGTACTCAGTCTAAACTGAAACACTTGTCAGGCTCTGGGTCAAAAACTGAAGACAGTGACACAGACTGGAAGGAGAGCAAATCTAAATGCTCTGAGTGCAGCAATCGATTTTTGAGCAACGGGCCTCATGACAGTCAGGTGACAAGTCATTCAAGACTGAGCTCGTCAAACTGTGTAGTTGAACTCGAAGGTGTTGAAATAAAGACTAACTCGCACGGGAAAGTTCAGACAAAACTGAAATCATTTAGTTGTGATGAGTGTGGCAAAAGATGCGCCAGAAATGCAACTTCAAGCACCCACAGAACAAACCAAACAGTGGAGAAACCGTTTGTTTGTCGTCTTTGTGGATGGAGGTTTAGAAGTTTGAAAAAGTTCGACAAACACATGACGGTCCACAAACCATTTGTCTGTGATGTCTGTGGATACAGGTTTGGCAATAAGTCACACTTAAGATCACACCTGAGAATCCACTCAGGGGAGAAACCGTTTGCTTGTGATATTTGTGAACTCAGATTTATCCGTAATTCACATTTAACTAGACACATGAGGAGACACACAGGACAGAAACTGTATACTTGTGAGATTTGCAAACAATCGTTTACCAGAAAAGAACATTTGGACAGACACACGAGAAGAAACCGTCACCGGAAGGAAGACAATTCAGCTGTGAATATTACTGGTAGTCACATAAAGACACAAGAGTTCACACCGAATCAAACCTAAACAGTTCCAACATTTGTTGTAAATATCTATATGTTAGTGCAGTAATTTTAATGTAGATAATTCTATTTCATTTGTGATCCTTGAAATTCATCCATCCATCATCATCTGCTTGTTCTGAAGTCGGGTCTCGGGGGCAGAGAGGTCCAGACATCTCTTTCCACAGCCACCTCTTCCAGCTCTTCTGGGAGGACTCCAAGGCGTTCCCAGACCAACGAGAGACACAGTCTCTCCAGTGTGTCCTGGGTCTTTCCTGGGGTCTCCTCCAGTCATACATGCCCGAAGCACCTCCCTAAGGAGCTGCCCAGGGAGCATCCTTACCAGATGCTTGAATCACCTCAACTGGCTTCTCTTGATGTGGAGAAGCAGCGGTTCTACTCTGAGTCTCTCCCAGCTGACTAAACTTCTCACACTATCTCTAAGGGAGAGTCCAACTATCCTGCAGAGGAAACTCATTTCAACCGCCTGTATCCACAATCTCGTTCTTTCAGTCACTACCCAGAGCTCGTGACCATAGGTGAAGATAGGAACATAGACTGACCAGTAAACAGAGAGCTTTGCCTTACAGCTCAGCTCTCTCTTCACCACAATGGACCGACACAGAGTCCACAATAATGCAGACGCAGCACCAATCCGTCTATAAATCTCACGCTCCATTTTTCCCTCACTCGTGAACAAAACCCCGAGATACTTGAACTCCTCCACTTGTTACAGAACCTCGACCTGAAGAGAGCAATCCACGCTTTCCCAGCTGAGGACCATAACCTCAGATTTGTAGGTGCTGATCCTCGTCCCAGCCACTTCACACTCGGCTGCGAACAGCTCCAGTGAGAGCTGGAGATCACGGCACGATGACGCCAACAGGACCACATCATCTGCAAAGAGCAGAGCTGGAATCCTTAGGCCACCGAACCAGGATCTCTCTGCCCGCTGGCTGCACCAAGAAATTCTGTCTATAAAAGTCACGAACAGAATCGGTGACAAAAGGCAGCCCTGGCGGAGTCCAACTTACTGCCGGCAATGTGAACCAAACTCTCGCACCGCTTGTATAGGGACTGAACAGCTCGTAGCAACAGGCCTCCAATCCCATACTCATGGAGCACCCCCACAGTGTACCCCGAGGAACACGGCTGAAAGCCTCCAAGTCCACAAAACATGTAGACGGGATGGGCAAACTCCCATGACCCTTTGAGGACCATAGTGAGGGTAAAGAGCTGGTCCAGTGTTCCACAGCCAGGATGGAACCTGCATTGTTCCTCCTGGATCTGATGTTCGACCACCGATCGGACTCGCTTCTCCAGTACCTCTGAATAGACCTTACCAGGGAGGCTAAGGTTCTTGAAATCATGTCTGAAAATACACTACAGACCTGTTTACATGTGTATTCAGTAATCCAATATTTGATTTACTGAACTTACACTAACTGAAAGGTTGCTGTTTTACCAAATATCAAATGTTGCCAAGATTTAAGTTGTTAATTTTTTTTTTACTGAAACATCTAAGTTTAAAGTCTTAGAAAGCAAACTGTGCTCGAGTGTTTCAATGCATTTTATTCTGATTCAAGAGTTTCTTTTTCAATTGAGAACATTTATTTTACATATCTGTAGTTGTAGGAATCTATACATGAATTACAAAAATACAAACTGGGGAAAAATGTATATATTTTTGAAAGATTAAACTTACATTACCAAATGTTTTGTCTGCATTTCTTTTTATAAGTCTTGATAAAATTTGTTTAGTATTACATTTTATACATTTCTTAAACTGTTTTAAGAGAACAGCTAGTAAAAATGAAAATGTTGGATTTGTCAAGTTTCTGCTGATTTTGTTTACTCAGAAATAAACCATCTCTTAATGCCTCCAGCTGTTTAAGTTTACAAAGACAAAATTTCAGCGAGACAATCACATGACACAAATGTTACAAATTGATTTGTTATTTAGGAAAATATTCTCTACAACACGTCAGAATTGGTTGTGTGCTCATTTTGCACACACAATTTCTACTAATAAGGCAAAACTTTGAAAAACAAAAGGTTGATTAAACTTATATGATTTATTCAGGAGTAACAAGCAACATGCAGTACTGTGCACAATTCCCAAATTATCCCTCTTTTTTTTTTTACTTCCTGGTAACCAAACTTATTTTTTCAAGCAGTCTCCATAGAAAGGTTAAAAGCTTGGGGCTTTTTTTTTTTTTTTTTTTTTTGCTGTAAACTTTGGTTGATTTATCAAATATTTAGAGTCAAATGTCCGACCGTTTCCAGAAGAAGGTTTTTATCATACAGTTAAAGTTGGCAAATAACCAATTTTTAAACAGGATATTTTGTCACAAAAACACTACTTGTTTAAATTTCTTTAAGACAAAAAAAAATCTCAAATTTGTGTTTTTGCATTTATTATTATTTTATTTTCAAATTTGGAGCTGAATATAAATAAAACTGGGAGCAATCTGAGAAACATGCAGGGACACTTCAGACACATCAGAGGGCGCTGTTGTCCCACTCATCTATTTTTTTTAATTAAAAAGAAAAAACTTTTAGACAATCCAACACAATGATTTTTTTAACGTTTAAAACAGCAGGAGGAGATGGACAGGGCTAGTTTAGTGCCATCACTTTATTCTGTAGACCTGTTTAAGGATTGTTTGGTTGTTTCTTCTGACCAAACCTTTTTGTTGTGGCTCTTCATGCATATTAGAATGTTAATGATGCCATCACTTACACATACAGTTGATCCTCCAGAACAAAATGATTTCAACGATGCAGGAGCAAGAACATAAACCCAGTGCTGTAAAAATGTAAACAGCAACTTAATGTTTAAACACAGGATATTATTTGGGGAAAATGTTCTGGCATGAAGCATGATGGCAAACATGAGGATTGTCATAATGTGCTACAAGATGTATAGCTGATAAGTCGCCAGCTCACACCATCCTTGCTTTTGTTACATCGTGTGCAATCATCACCATAGATTTCAAACAGCATAAAGCACCATATGTTTACCTCAGTCTTGTCGTTTGCACGGTCCTCTTTAGGGAGGAAGTTGGAGATCCATTTAATTCCTTGTTTTTTGTGCTTTTACATTTAAATTAAGCACAAATATTCCAGCACCCAAATCAATACTACAGTAGGTTTACAAGCAATGAAGGCCAGCTTTAAGAAAAGTGCAGCGGCATAATAACAAATCCAAACTCAAGACTCTACACTCAAAACTAATAACTGTTCCTGTTTTATTTCTGTGTTCTTAAAGAGCAGAAACGGCTCCAAATCACAGGAGTTTGTTACAAATCTCAGGAAACGACTGCTGCAGGTGACAGCAAAGACAATGAACGTTGTTGTATCCTCTTTATGTTCTCACTTCTACTCAGAGTTTTTATTCTCTCCAAACAAACATCATCCAGGACAGAGCCATCACAGATACCATGATGCTTTCACACCGTCCTGGTTCTTTCAGACGTTTCTGTTTGGTGCAAACGAGGATCTTTACGTCCTTTTTTCTGTCAGTCCGTCTGCACGTCATCAGTAATATCTGTTGAGACTCTGAGTGACGGTGCTGATGTCTGGTTGTCCGTTCATCCAGATCTCTCGGAGAATCCGTTCACGTTCTTCTAGCCTCTGGGCCCGGTCCAGTTCTGAAGACACACGCACAGAAAAAAGGTATTTAAAAAGCACCGATACCGTGTATGCTCAAAGATCATCTTGTTCAGATATGTCAAGGAGGGAAAAATCTTTCCTGATAATTAAGACTTTAACGTCATCTATTAAAATGCCTCTTTACCTGATTATGTTCATCTTTTAATTTATTTACATCCTTTATGAATAATTTCTTTATATTTTGCTTCAATTTTTTTTCAACTTTGCAAATTGGCATTGAGTGATAGTTCCCTGTGTTTCCCAACAGTCTTTCCAAAAAAAAATTTCCTTAAAAAAAACCTAAATTTAGCCAACCAGCACTAATATATTAATCATAAAATGATTTTATAAAGACCTGGTGGTAAAATATCTACAGCAGTTTAAACGCTGACTCAGCCATCTTCTTGACAAATCATTTAAAATGTTCAGGATGTTTGCTCAGAACTGTATTCTAATTTAAATTATTCTAAAAATATTTATCTCTGCCTTTTTTTTCTTGCTTATGAATATTTGTTGAATGTCTTTTTAAGTAAAAGACGTGAAAACTAAAAAAATAAAGATCTGTCGGTTGAATAGCGTAACTCAATTAATCAAATGTTATTGCTAAAATATGTTTAAAGAAAATATGAACTGACTTTCAGCATCAAATGCTTTTATAGGAACCACACTGATTTGTTCAAAGTCCAGATCAGACAAAAACCACAACAATAAAATAATTCAAGGGTCTTTAAAGTGTGTTTGTGTGTGCGAGGCACCTTCAGAGGATGTGAACATGTTGGCGTGGAGCAGAGCTCTCTCGAAGCGTCGGCGTCTCTGTGCCGACAGGTCAGCTGCGTCGTCCCAGACCTCCGGCTCATTGGCCCCGGAGGCCCCAGAGGCCACGGAGACCCCGGTCCCTCTAGAGGCCACGACCAGAGCAGAAGAGGGGTCTGCATTACCGTCGCTGGGCTGATGGTGGGCACAGATGTGCTGGCGGTGGTGATGTCCAACCTTGTGGCGATGCTGAAGGTCGTTAGTGTTGCCATAGTGACAGTCTGCTCGACAGTGTATCTGGAAGACGATGGCGCACAGGGTGACCAGAAGACCCACGCTGACCCCTCCGAGGAACACCAGAGCCGTCCTCTCCGGCTGGTCTTTGAGCGAGGGACAAAACAATTTAGAGTTAAACAGATGATTTAGAAAAACAAACCTCTTCACCTCAGATTTCATCTTCTGGTCTCCACACCAAATTGTTTTTCTGTCCATTATTGGTAAATTAGCAGCTTTTCTTTCAAAACTCAGACAATTCATCAATATTTTTGTCAACAACAAATTAGGGCTATTATACCTGAGCTGCTACTGTACCTGCAATAAAGGTGTAAGCTGCCAATATGTTGCTAAGCAACGCCATCTCCTGGGAAACCACCTTCACCTCCATGTTAGGGCTTCCTGTCGCTGAAGTACTCATGATTTCACAAAGTCCAGATTACTATAATTTCCTGAAGGGGTCAGATCAGCTCATCATTCCTCCTCATGGACTTGGAGGTTTTGAGGGTGAAGGTTTGAGAGCAGGACTCCCTAATGGGGACATTATAAGAGAGAGAGGAGGGAAAAAAACATAATGGCAGACGTTTCTGATTTGTGATTTATTTTTGTCAAATAATGTGTTTACAAGTTTTGAAGTTTACAGGACAGTGGTGAGACCAGCTATGTTGTATGGTCTGGAGACAGTGGCATTGACAAAAAGACAGGAGAAAGAACCGGAAGTGTCAGAAATGAAGATGTTGAGGAGTGACAAGGATGGATAAGATTAGGAATGAGATCATCAGAGGTACAGCACAGGTTGAACAACTGGGAGATAAAATTAGAGAGATCAGACTGAGATGGTTTGGACATGTTCAGAGGAGGGATTGTCAGAAGGATGTTAGAAATGCAGCTGCCAGGAAAGAGACAAAGATGAGATATATGGATGTAGTTGGAGAGGACATGGAGGTAGTTGGAGTGAGGACAGAGTGAGATGGAGGAGGATGACTCGCTGTGGCGACCTCTGAAGAGGGAAAAGATGGAAGAAGAAGAAGAATGTGCAAATATGACTTGGAGAAAATGTACTAAACCACTTTTCTACCTGAAGCTTTTATCCATAAAGCAGAAATGACACCAAGTTCAAAAACTGAACAAATGTCTCAAACCTCAGCTGTCGTTTTTTAGCCTTTGTTTTATTAAAGCTGTCAGGGGGCGAGCAAGGACACGAGGACGCAGATGTTCGATGGCTGAATGGACAATGGAACAACACAAACATATAGACAGGACAGCTTGACAAAATACAGAGATGTAAACAACAAGGAGCAGGACATCGGGGAAACTGTCAGGGAACAAACAGGATGAGAGACTGGTGAGTGGCTGAGAACCAGGAAGGGATGAGAACAGGTGAACGCGCTGGTCTGACTTGTAAATGAGGGACAGGTGAAAGATGAGGAGCAAGAGACGGAGGGAACAAGATGGAGAAGAGGGACTAAATGAAACATAAAGAACAAAGAAGGGAGTCTACATCAACAATAACACAATTGCAAAAGGAATTAAACAAAATAAAAAATTTCAGGATCATGCCACAAGGTTCAAGTTTTTTTTTATTGTCATTCGTATCACATGTGGTACATGAGGTGGAACGAAACTGTGTACTCAAGGCCCCAGTTACATCCAAAAATAGCAAAAAATATAAAATATAAAAAGAAAGGGTAACACTTTACAATAAGATACACAAAATTTGCTTAACTACTAAGGAACGAATCAGGAACAAATCAGGAACAAATCAGGATCTAATGGGTAGTTAACCAGTACTTACTGGGGAACACACAGCTTAGCGGAGTACTGGTTTGTTACCACAAAAACAGCGGAGAGATTCTTCATGTGGGTTCTGAATAAACCCTGCACCAGTGAGGTCACAACTTGTCAAAAAAAAAGTTTCCTAGTGATTACTGATTTTATTGGATTTTCTCTTTTGTAAACATATTGATGAAAGACATTAACAATTTAATAATCTTGTACTGGTGTCATCGTAACTATGTCTGACTATCACTTAGTACCAAACCATTGCCTGGCTGTTATTTTGTTCACTGATGTAGTGAAACAATCATACCAAGTACTTACTGAGAAACCAATCATTACTCAATCACTACCTAACCATTACCTACCGGTTTGTTCCTATGTTAACAAACCAGTAGTCCCCTAATAAGGCTTGACTGTGTGTTCCCCAGTAAGTACTAACTACCCATTAGCTCCTGATTTTTTTTCCTGATTTTTTCTCTAGTAGTTAATTAAATTTTGTGTACCTTATTTTAATGTGTTACCAAAGAGGGAGTGCCTATAGAAGGATCACTAAACACTAAACACAAGCGTCATGATGTAGATTCATGCCGCCCTGAAAGTCATTCTTTAAATGTCTGAACTTTACGTATATCCTTGTAAATCCATCGTTGTTCATCCTAAGTGCTCATACTTGCAACATTAAGCTTCTTGTTGAAACATATCATGAAGAACACAAAACTGATGATCAGTGATTTACATTTTTGCAACAAGTCTTTCTTGGAGACGAGCTGATGCCATTCGACTGCCGTTTAACAATTTGGGAGATAATTATATGTTCCACTGGAAACAACAGCACCGCACCCATCCATCTGAATCACTCTCACCTAACTTTCACTGTCGCTGTGAACGTGTCTGAACTGCTACCTGCAGGGTTCACCCAGAAAAACAACAATTAAAAGACAAGGGTGCCTCAGAAAGAAGACAAATCGAAAACAGAGGGGTGCAAATCATGAAAATCGTAACACAAGTTTCCACATGCATTCGAACAGGGACAGGTAATTAAACCAGCAGCGTACTGGTAATTACATCGTGAAACATCTTGCAGGCTGTTGTCCAACTACATTCCTAGAATATTTGTATAACCATGCAAGTGCTGTATCTTGTAACAACTCTCAGGTGGATTAAAGCAACGTGATTTTTTTGTTTCTGTGTAAACAACATTCCTTCCACCTGCTCGGCCCCCTTTTCTTCTTCAGTCCGACTGCTGTGAAATAATCCTCGGGCCATGTCTTCATCGGGCAGGCAGCCACCACACACTTGACCTTTGTGCGGTTCACACGTGAAACAGGCCAGGTGTTGCTTCATGCTCACGCAGTGACCGTGTCATCGTGGATAAATCTCACAAATCTCAGCCCGAGTGAGAATATTCAGGTTTCACAGGAAGACCATTTCAGACACTGATGAGATGCGACAGCTGCAAACACAGTGCTGTTCACAGAAGTGATGATGAAAATCTTTTTTTTTTTTTTTTTACGTGTGTGTATATAAATGAAACAAACCTAAATAACAACTTTTATTTTCATCCTGATGCTGCTTCATATTCAAACACTCAGCCATTTGTGTGCACATCTTTTACTGACTGCAAAGATGTGTAGGCCGTCTTACATTAGAGAACCATGCAGACCAGCTGTCTCATGCGAGACCATGGGCGCCAGAACCATCTGCAATGTGTGTGTGTGTGTGTGGGTGGGTGGGGGGGGGGGGTGGACACTATAGTGTGTGTGAGTGTGTGCACACTCATGTGTGCGTGCACGTACACACGCACCATTGTACAAAAAAAGCAACATTTCATCTAGATTTCCTTACTTTAATTCCTTTTAAAACATGTTTCTCACCAAGTTTGTGTAAATTCAGCTGTTTTAAACACATTTCAACTTTAATGCACCTGAACACACCGCGTCTCTTACACCTGCAGAGTCTTAAAGCGTCACAGTTACTGCTAAACTAAGATGCTACAGACGTAGTGCTCCTCTCAAGCATCCTCCTAACATGAATATGTTTAAGATCAACACCCCCTGGTTAACAACTGCCCGCACTAAGCTTGTTAAGATGGCGAGCGAGCAACACACAGGTGTCTCTATCTCCTCCACCTGTGTATGTTTTGTCACTATGGCCATTCATAGTTTTCTGCTGAGGCAGGAGACGTACAGAAACTCTGCTGCTGCTGGAAGCTGAAGAGTTGGAGGTAACCAGGAAAACCTGGAGTGAATTTTTAGTGGTTTGAGTATTCTCCTATTGATCAAGTGGAATGGAATTGTTCGTTCGTGTCCAAATGAATGTTTTTTTAATGTGGGGGGGGGGGACAGGTCCCCTTCACATATAATGGCTGCGACGCCTATGTGCGAGACTGATAAAAAAAAAATCCTTTGTTATGTGGGAATTTTTTTTATATTAAAACATGATTTTAAAAACTTCTTGTCTTGTTCTTACAACACAAGTCACCGACTGTTTAGATGGAGAAATGCAGACTCCAGGGGTGGAAGTATTGAATTACAAATACTCACATTATTGTAATTATAGATTTTTTGGGGTACTTGTACTTTTATGAGTATTTCTTTCAAGTGTGTGATTTTCATACTTAAAACAATTTAGACCATGTAATCTACTTGGCTACTTTTAAAATCAGAGTCAGAGTTTCATTTTTCATTTGGTGGAACGAAATGTTGTACACAGGGTCCAAGTTACATCCAACTATAAAATGTAAAAGAAAAACAGTAATAAGATCTAAGATATGAACTAAGAAAAACATTAACTAAAAATACGCTAAGCACTAACAGCATAAAAACAATACGCTGAACAGCAGCACGAACATGAGTCTGTGTGAGCAGATGAGTATGAATGAACACAGCAACATGAAACAGATCAGCAGCAACATGAGAAGTCATCAGAAGTCGCTACTGAGTACAGCCGCAATTTGAATTAATATTCAAACCGTTCATCTGCATCTTTGTAGCCAATAATGCTCTCAGATGGCGAACACGCCAATAACCTATGACGTAAGCAAAGGACAACTCCGTAGAGAGGAGAGTCATTTATGGACCTAAGAGTTGGAGAAAAAGCCAAAATGGAGACAGGACAACAACAGAGGAAATGACGAGGTAAAGGCTGATGACTGAGGACGAGTGCCCGTGGCCGTACCTGGAGGAATGTTTCATGTACAGAGGGTGAAAAGGAGACAGAGTCCAGATGCAAACTTTGTTTGATCTCTACGGTGATAGCAGCTTACAAGACTTCAGCATCTAATCTCAAAAAACATATTGTGGTATACGAGGTTTTACAACTATCTGCATGATATTGTTTTTTTTATTGTTTGCATGTGTGGGTTATTATTACAGTATTTTCCAGTGTATAAGTCACAGCTTTTGCACAGATTTGTCAGTCCTGCGACTTATATACATATTTTTTTTCCATATTCATATCGCAAAATTTGATAGACACTTTAAATTTCTAAGAACTGCAACAGTGAGTCCTCCCGTGCGCGCTCACTTCACTCAGCTGGTGTAGGTAAAGGAATGCTGGAGAACTAGCGGCTCCGCCCGCGATGGATGGATGGATGGATGGATGGCACCACGCCACCCAGTTGAAATGAAGCTGTTTTGACCATTAAATAAACGCATAATAAATGCAACTTATA